TTGTCTGTCTCGCCAATAGAATGCAGTTGAGGCTGCCACCACCGAGGAACTCTCCAGATTCCCACCCCATGGAGAACACAGTTCCGGGCTTTTCCGCCTTCCACGACCTCACTGTGGCAATACAGATTTTTCAAACAACCACAGGCACTACAATCCCCACTGACGAGTTGATCGAAACTGTGGTGATACAAGAACTTCTATAGTAACTTCACCTTTGAAGTCCCACGTCTGTTGGGATGATGGAAAATTAAAAATTCCAGACAAGTATGAGGATTGCCCAAGGATACATACACCCCGAATGGGCCAGAGAGGCGGAAATGTCAGCATGTCACAGTTACGCATCGCTGGCCAGGGGTGGCGCTGGGGGGGACATCCGTCAGTTCCTTCCGCCTCTTGCATCACTAACCTAAGAGAAACAACATCTGAACAGGAGCTATTGTTATTCCATGAAAGACCGGGAAGTATTAAAACCATCCTGAACCAAAACACAACATATGCCAGTCTAAATTTCTCTAGTAACTGAAGAGGCACATGTTTCAGTCCTCAACATGCTCTTCTTACGCAGCTCCAGGAGACTGGCCTGAACCACCCATATCACACTCAGGAAAGTGTATGTCTTGGAAGCTAAACAGTGCCTGGGCTTACTCGCAGCTGTGAGGGATGTATTCATCTATGGCGACCAGGTCACAGTGAGAAGGATGGCCTATTCCCTCCCAGAAAGCCCACAACAAGAACATCTAATAAAGCGAACAAGGAAGCAAGAATCTCTACCAACAAATAAGCAACAACTCCTGATTTTATTCCGTGATGACATCAGTGCGTTCTGCACACCTACACACTCCTCCTGATGGGGATCCTGAACCACCAACCACCATTAAATATCTGACCCCACACCCGAGCCTGAGAATGCCTCCAAAAGACCTTTTGCCGTAATAACTATTCTGGTCTCAACTTGAGATAAGATCCTCCGATATAATTTCTTTATGAAAATTATGGTACATCCATATGCTGAAACCATACTTCCATTAAAAATAGTACTAAACCAAACCAAAAACTCACTGCCGTTGGGTCAGTTCCGACTCATAGTGACCCTGTAGAACAAAGTAGAACTGCCCCGTAGAGTTTCCAAGGCGGTAAACCTTTACAGAAGCAGACTGCCACGTCTTTCTCCAGAGGACCCACTGGTAGGTTCAAACCACAGACCTTTCCATTAGCAGCCAAGCACTTAACCACTGTACCACCAGGGCTCCTTAACAATAGTACTAGGTATCATTCACTGAGCAGTTACTAGGAGAGGCAGAGAAACCAGTACAAATCACACTCTCAGTTAGTGGGAGAGCCAGGATTGAACTCAGGTCTGCTTTCAAGACTTGTGCTCTTGGCTTCTCTGCCATTTTGCCTATTTCCAAATGAATAAGAATACTTAATAATGTGGAAAATACTCATTTTATGTGGCTGAATGAAAAAAAATGCAGGCTTAATAACGTATGCGATCAGGTCCCACTTTTGTAAATAACATAAATCAGTATACATTAACAGATATGGAAGATACATTTCAAAGGAACAATAGTTATTTTAATGATGGAATTCTCGACAACATCGGTTTTCTTCTTTTGGTTGAGATATACAGCGAAGCCTGTGAGAGCCAGAACTCGACGGGACTACCTTGTTTTTCCAGTATCGCAAGTCTTCTGCCTTTGACAGGGCGCAGTCTTACACTTTTCTATCGCTTGTTTTAGTGGAAGATATTTGAGTTTTCTTTCTCTGACAGGTTTCCGTCTTACACAGTTTCCGGCTTTCACAAGTTTTATTGTAACAATCGTAATAATGATTGTTGTTGTTAGGTGCCATCCCATCAGCGCCGACTCATGGCAACCCCACGTATAACAGAACAAAACATCGCCCAGTCCTGCAGCGTCTTCACCGTGGTGTGCTTGAGTCCATTGTGACGGTCACTGTGTATTTTGACTGCCTTCCAACCTAGGGGCTCCAGTACTATATCAGACAATCTTCCATTGCGATCAATAGGGCTTTTATTGGCTAATTTTCAGAAGTAGAAGGCCAGGTCTTTCTTCCTAACCCGCCTTAGTCTGTAAGTTCTGTTAGAAACCTGCCCACCGTGGGTGACCCTGCTGGTATTTGAAGTAACAGTGGCATAGCTTCCAGCATCACAGCCATACGCAGACCACCACAGTACGACACACTGACACACAGCGGTGGTGATGAATATTGGCTACTTTGCACAACATGCTATGTGACGTATCTTCCCCACTCCCCACCTGCTGCTGCAGTCCAGAGTGCCTGCTCTATCGTGGATTTAGAACCTGATTTCACCCCCGGATTTCAATATGCTTCCAACCAACATAGAGTGCAGCTCTTTCCGGTTCAGTGGCCTGCCCAGTACTTCAGACTTGCCATGCCCATTGAAGGTTCCGGGTGTTGCAGTTCCCTGCAGCCTACAGGAGAACGCCCTGTCTCCCCCAATACTTCCTCTCAGCCATTATCCTCTGAGAGCACTGCGTTGTTGGGAGCACTGGAGGAATGTCCCCAAGGGAGGGCTGTGCCTTCCATGGAGCCCAACTCAGCCAAGGGCTTTCCCATGGGAACACTCCCTGGTTCCTTTGCCTTGCTCCTTCACTGCTCTCAGCTAGCAGGCCCCTCTGATTGAAAATTATTCAACAAAGTCAGAGAGGGACCAAGTGTAATGGAGATTCAAGCATGGGAGAGTGTTCCTGAAGGAGGGGCCTTGTGACCGGGGCAAGCTAGAAAGCTCTGTTGTTGAGTGTATGGAATGGAACAGAGCAGAGAGCTTTCGCTGGAGTTGTAAGTGAAGAACAACATGAATGGTGTTTACTTCACAGGCTTGAGGAACGGGCGCCGTTTAAGTCAGAATTATGTGATCAGTGTCTGCAAACATTGAATCTGGTGAAAATGAGGAGCCTGTCAGGGATTGAATTATGATCCCCCAAAAATGTGTGTATCAATTTGGCTAGGCGATGATTCCCAATATTCTGTGCTTGTCCTCCATTTTGTGATTGTCATTTGACATTAAAGAGGATTAGGGTGGGATTGTAACACCACGCTTAACCAGGTCACATCCCTGATCCAATGTAAAGGGAGTTTCCCTGAGGCGTGGCCTGCACCACCTTTTATCTTGCAAGAGATAAAAGGAAAGGGAAGCAAACAGAGAGTTGGGGACCTCATACCACCAGGAAAGCAGTGCCAGGAGCAGAGCACGTCCTTTGGACCAGGGGTTCCTGTGCAGAGAAGCTCCTAGTCCAGGGGAAGATTGATGAAGATGAGGACCTTCCTCCAGAGCCGACAGAGAGGGGAACCTGGTGCTGATGTCCTGAATTTGGCCTTGTAGCCTACTAGACTGTGAGAAAATAAATTTCTCTTTGTTAAAGCCATCCACTTGTGGTACTTCTGTTAGAGCAGCACTAGATGACCAAGACAGAGCCCTATAATGAGACACACACGATAGCATGAAAAGGTGGAAGACAGAGATTACGGTCAGATGGCTAGGAGGGGCACGTGCAGGCAGAGCGATTGGGAAAGATGTACCCGGAACCAGGCACACCCCACCAGGCTCTTCTTTCATCCCAGGTCCTGCCCTCAGCAACATGCACAGGAGACGCCCAGAACTCAGGTTTGCATGCCGGGGAGGACCTTCCCAGGCTGCCATCCGTCGTGCAGAGGATAGGAACAGACTCCGAAACATCACGAGTCACAGGCTGAGGAACAAACTCTGAAACATCATGAGTCGTGGGCTGAGGAACAGACTCCAAAACATCACGAGTCACGGGCTGAGGAACAGACTCCAAAACATCACGAGTCGTGGGCTGAGGAACAGACTCTAAAACAGCTTGAGTCATGGGCTGAGGAACAGATGTAATTGGTAAAGAGCGATCTCGCAATGCTGGTATCAGCAGGAGCGAGTCTCCCGTCAGCTCGTGGCCATGGGCCATGCGTCTTCTGGACATGCCTCGGGTTCTGTCCCACGTAAGGAGCTCCTTCCCAATGTGGGTCTCCCCATGAGATGGGTGTGAGGAAGTGGCTGGGTCAGAAGGGAAATAGGCAGATTTGGGTGCCAAGAAGTCTGGTTTGGGGATGCCAGCTGACTGCAGGAGTTGTCTAGGATTTAAATACTCCCCTGAGTGGTGCAAACAGTTAAGTTCTCAACCACTAACCAGCAGGTTGACGGTTCAAACCCACCCAGGGGCACCTCAGACAGGTCTGGCTATCTGCTTCAGAAAGGTCACAGCCTTGAAAATCCTATGAAGCAGTTCTACTCTGCACACACAGGATCGCCAGGAGTCAGAATCATCTTGACAGCAACTGGTTCCGTTGTTGTTGTCACTGGGGACCTGGGGGCAGCCAAGGACTTTGGGGATATTATTGTTCAGGAGTTAGGAGGGACTCGGCAGTCACAGACATCTTCAAGTCAACCTGAAGCTCTGAGGTCTCCTTCTCCATCTTCCAGGACAGCCGGCTCTTCCCTGGCCCTCCCACTCTGTGATTGCTGGTGGCCCCTGGGGGTGCCCTCATCATGTATCTCCCCAAGAAATTCTTGGATCCACGCCTTGTCTTGATCTCACTGAGGGGTGGAGCAGTGTGCCCCGTGCTGCCATCAGACACCTGCTGCTAGCAGAGCTCTCTCTCGGGAGCACGCAGGGTGGACAGGCCTGTCGGGAAAAGGGAGAAAGGAACTGCTTCTATAAGCGAGAGGAGGGCAGGGTATCTCTTGAGGACCTCTGATGAGGAAAAAACAAGGAAGGACCTTCTAACTCCTCTCCCAGACTCTAAGGCCTAGCTAAATGCTGACTTTCTTCATAGAAAAACAAACTCTGGCGCCAAAGTAGAGGTGATGACCGGGGAGGGTGGCTGGGTGACTGGCAGTAGAGCCTTCTGGCAGCTGGCCCACTTCCTTGCTGTGTTTATAAGGAGCGCGCTGGGCACGGCGACCCTATTCTTCGGAGGCCACATCCCACTCCTCCAGCATGCGTGCGCTCCTGCTCCCGTCCAGGGCTGGCCCTGCTGCCCTGCTCCTGGTTCTCTGCCTGCAGCTGGGGGCCAGCAATGCCCAGGAAAACAAGTGAGCTATGCCCTCCCCTCCCCACACAGCATCTGGCAAAACAGGTTCACCTCCTGGCCTGCAAACCCACCTACCCTTCCTGAATACCTTCCCTCGTTCCCGAGCTCGAGTCCCAGGAGCTCTGAGTGGGTTCCCTACCAGGGCCCATTCCTCTTCTCTTAGGATCCCATCAGGCCCCTCACCTCTCCCCGGGGGCTTCAAGACCCCAGTGTGTGTCCAGGCTGCAGTTAGCAGGGAGTACTGTTCTATCTCTGGTCCACATCCTGTCTGTACCTGCGTCTTTGTTCAGCTTTCTGCTCAGCAAACGTCACTTTCTCACACTCACTCGTAGGGAGAAGGTTTGGCAGATATTCGAGTTCCAGCAGTACCTGGGGAGGCCTGGTGGGACTCACTGGGGACCTGAGGCCCAGTCAGTGTCCAGCAGGTCCATATTCCTCCCATGCCGAAGCCAGAAGACAAGTGTGAGGACCACTCACCCCAACCAAATGGGGACCCAGGGACACCGGGGCACAGAAAGTTGTGTGAAGGAAGCAGAAGCAGGGAAGTGGGGGCAAGTAAGATGAGGTAGGAGATGGGGCCAGGGGCCTGGGGAATCAGAGACACCCAGCAAGCCTAGGAAGCTTTCTCTACAGGAATGGGGTGTCGAGTGTGGGTTTCTGGACGGTGATGTGGGCAATGCCCCTGGAGGAAACTAGGTGGGATTTCAACCAGCTCTGAGATGGTGGCAGGTGTCCTAGGTGGCTCAGGTTCATGTCCCTCCACTTAGCCTGAAAGGCAGTGAGCTGCTGACAGAAGCTGTGCTAATGACGATGACGGAGCCCTGGTGGTGCAGTGGTTAAGAGCTCCGCTGCTAACCAAAAGATCAGCAGATCGAATCCACCAGGCGCTCCTTGGAAACCCTATGGGGCAGTTCTACTCTGTCCTATAAGGTCGCTATGAGTCGGAACCAACTCAATGGCAACAGATCTGGTGTTTTGAATGAGGGTGACCAGCTGTCTCCATTTGACCAGTAATTTCCCAGTTTCAGCAGGGAAAGTCTCTCATTCCAGGAAACCACTTATGTTCCAGGAAACTGGGATGGCTGGTCACCCTAGCGATGCTGGCCTTCCCATCAGTCCTTCATTCCTCCGTCAAAGGGGCGAACGCTGAAGATGCTTAAGTCTTCAGCCCCTTTCCTAGAGCAATGACTGGGGGAATGGAATTTCCTGGAATCTGAGATGCGGTGCCCTCGACACATGAGCTGGGAGACCTTGTGACAGAAGGAACTGAACACTCCCAACCCTCCCAACACCAAAGGGGCTTAGCCAGGAGTTTCCAGGAAAGAGAAAGTTAACTCTCCTGGTCCTGAGCCCAGTCCCCCGAACTGAAGAGGGATCCTTGACCATCCGCCTGTCGCCTCTGTCCTAGCAAAGAGTGGTGCACGGCCTGGACTAGGGTGGCATCTACGGGAAGAGTCCCCAAACCCGGCCCGTGTCCAAATCCAGCACTAAGTAAAGACGAGTTCTTAGACCCACCCAAAGAAGGACGCCCTCTGAAGATGGCTCCTCAGCCCCCGCCAGGGCCTTAGACCTTTACTGTGGGACCATGCTATTGATAAAGCAACCTTCTCCTGCTGGTGACGTGAGCCCTTCCTCTCAGCGGACACGCAGCAGCATCTGTAGGGGTTTATTAGAAAACGACATGTGGCATTCTACTTTAATTCTTTTTTTTTTTTCTTTTCTTTTTTGGAAAGAACGTGCTCAGTTTTAAATAAAAGGGTCAAGTTGCTTTATTAAATGAAACGAAATGCTTACAGAACAGCCAAACCAAGCGATTAAGAAACATTCTCAGGGGATTCTGACGCCGAGCAATAGATCCAACCCCCTCCCCTGCCTCCCAGGCACCTGCCTCCCCTCCACCCCCACCCCTGGCATCCTCTGACCTGTAGATAGGGCTCTAACGACCACGCCCTGCTTCTCTCTCCCCTGACCAGCTGGAAGGTGATGACAATGGACCTGCAGATGCAGCAGACCGCAAAAAAAAACGAGGAGGTCCCCGTGACACTCAAACTGAGCACGGAAGTGCAAGAATGCATGGTGGTAAGTGGAGTCCCTGAGTGGTACAAACAGTTAACGTGCTCAGCTGGTTGGAGGTTGGAGTTCACCCACAGGTGCCCTGGAAGAAAGGCCGGGCAACCTACCTCCAAAAAATCAGCCATTGAAAACGCTGTGGAGCACAGTTCTACTCTGACACACGTGGGGTAGCCATGAGTCAGAGTGGACTCCATAACAACCGGTACTGGTATGGTGGTAAGTGCAGGCCTGGGGCAGTGAAGGTGGGAAAGATGCGACTCCCTGAATATGAATAGAATTAATCTCTCACTTTCTATTGCGTGCTATAATTAATAAACCGTTCTCACCTATGTCATGTGACTTGAGCTCAAAACAACTGTGGGAACTCGGTAGGGATGACCATTCTCATCGTCCAGATGAGGTACTGTGCTCCAGAGAGCCCTAGGGAGGATGAGAAAGAGACAGTGTAGGAAGTGGCAAAGACGGGAAGAGTAAGAGCTGGGGAAAGCTGGCTAGAGCCCCTCCAGGGTCCTCGGCAAGATGCGCGTGGGTTCTCAGAAGGAAAGCAGGACCCCCTGTGAGCAGGTGGAGGCAGGTAGGGAGAAGGGGCAAGTCCCAGGGACACACACGGTCTGATTCCTTCTCTCCTTGGGTCTCTCCCTTGCGTTCCCTCATTGTGTCCTTCCTCTGCTCTTTTGCTCTGAGTCATGCCCTGCCTCCCCACCCTCAGAAGGTGCCCACACTCCTCCCTCCCTCTCCGCCAGGTCAGCAGTTGTCTGGGGGGTGGGGGGGGTCTACGCTGTGAACCAGCTCAGAGTTTCCCAAAAGTTAATTTGCGTACGAATCACCGGAGGGTCTTGTTAAACTACAGGTTCTATGCAAGCCCAGGTGTCTCCCCTCCCTCCATGAAGGACATCCTCTCAGGCAGTGCAAATATCTGTCTACACTATGAGTTTCTTAGCTCAAATTCAATGTAAGGACATATTGATTGAATAGGAAACAAGGTTAGGAGCGCGAGAGTTGCCATGGGTTAAAATGTATTCTAGAAATGGCCCTGGACCGATGACGGAAAGACTCCCAAACACTGAGCAAAGAACAACGTAGCTGCTCTGACCCATTTTTCTGCTCACCATCCAAGAACATGGGCCAAGAATGTTCACTGAGGGGGGCTGAATCGTACCTTTTCAATTAGAATGGTAGTTTCTGGGCGTGAACCATCAAGAAAGTCCACGCCACCCTGAAAAATTGCTAAGTCCGAGAAAATGTTTTAAAATCCGCGAAATCACATGGGCTATGACTGGGTGTTACTGTGATTGCTAGACTTGTATTGCCACTGCAATAAAATAAAGTGGTCTTTTAAAAACCTACCCAAGTACAATGAAAAGGGCAGGAAATGCCTTAAAAAATTATATTACCAACTAGTAAAAATTTATAGGAAAGAAAATCCTGTCAATTCTGATTAACTAATATTTACTTGTAGATTGCAAAAAAAATGGGTAACTATAAAAACACCTTCATATTTTAAAATTTTTAAGCAAATACAATTTTTATAGAAAAGCAAAAGTTCCTGCTCTTCATTCTTATTTCCTACTAATTATAATGTTTTATACTGAATTTTTGACAAAGTGAGGTTTTAAGATCACAATTATAAAATTAAAATAAATTATACCACCAGTCGTGGATTTGAACACGTGGATCGTATAATCCTCTTAGACTGAGGAAAAACTGTGACGACCCACTCTGGTTAACCAGTTTTGTTCCATGGGCCATCTTGCTGGTCTCAGGAAGTCTATGGAAACTTTATCAGAAAATTGCTTTTAATTGCATAAATAAAATGCACTGGATTGCAAAGGAATACTACTACATTGAATATCAGTGGTCAAATTATTAAAAATAAGTCTGTGGTACAGTGATACAGGTGGTTCTTTATTAAAACGTTAGCTGGTAAGTAAACCACAGGCAAGCTAAATTTTATTCTACAAAGACATCTGCATAATGGCGAATGTTGCTTCACTTGAGTAAGTAGGTTAAACTCATTTGGGGCAACACATCACACATGGCACATTTTGATTTTTTGTTTGGATTATTATACATGTGTTGAAAGTCGATATTCATGAAGATGTATTGTTGCAAATGTAATGAAAAGGTAAACAAGGCAAGGACGAGCCTCTCTCAAGAAATACCAGAATTCTCCCAGGCGTTTCAGTAGCATTCCCGTGGTGAGAACGTTTGAATTCACTGTCAGCGGCTGAGTTTCCTGAGCGAGTGCCAGGAGACAGGTAGACGCAGCCTCAGCTGTGACCATGCAGCCACTCTGATAGCCACGTGTGCTCAAGGTAGGCAGGGCAGGCGGCGGCGTGAGATACCTAGATCTGCACTGTGGTGTGACATCCTCTGCTTCTCCTGGGAGAGCATCACGCATTCTGCCAGAACTACTCGGGTTTGTGGGTGACATTCCCAGCTGAAGGAATGCTCACATCACCAAGAGGTGAGGAAAGTAAAAAAAAAAGGCAAATGTTTGTCTCCCATCTCCGCTCACAGACCCGCTACATTCCCTCCCCTCTGGGTCTTGGGACCCCTGGATAAAACCTCTGTACTAAACACTCACCGGGCTAAAGCTTCCTGACTTCGCTGAAATGTACGTATATGATGATCTGCCATCTTAAATTGTAAAGCACTCTCAAGTTAAAAAGAAAAAAAAAAAAACACACGTTCAAGATTCCCTCTGCTCCTCTAAGTGCCAGGTGGGGTGGGTAATTGTTGCACCTCACAAGTAGGAAAGTGAGAAAGACAGACGTCATTTTAGTCCCAAATGTCACGGTTAGAGAGGTCCCCTGGGGCTTGGGCACAGCTCTGGCAACAAAGCTTTTTGCCTCTACACCCAAGTGGACAGGCTTCAGTTTCACCCACATGGCGTAAAAATCCCTGTGGGTCAATTCCTGCTGGGTAACTGCTCCCTGGTTAGACGGACAGACGGCCACCCCAGGATGAGTTCTCCTCCCCTCGAATTCATTTTCATCTTCCCATCTCCACGCGAACCCTATACCACGCGTGAAGAGAGGACACTTTAGTCCTGAAGCGATACCGCAACAGCGGGCTCCTTCTGCCACTCCTTTGGCCCACCTGCGTCCAACTCCTCACCCTCGAAGTAGGTCAGCCTCCTCCTCCTTGCTCTCCACCCCACTCCCCAGGCTAACACTAGGGACTCTCTCCCACCTTCTTCTCACCAGGTGAAAACTTACCTCAAAAGCAGCAGGCCACTTGAAGGTACTTCTCATAATTATGATTTCACTAGCTGTCTGTGTAACGATTATCCAAGAACCTTCTTCTGGGACATTCGGAGCAACTGTAAGTACAGGAGCTGTCCAAGGGAGGGACTTCCCACCGCGGGGGAGAGCTACAAAGATGCATGTGCAGAGGAGTGCCCCAGAGCCTCCTGGAAAGAGGAGGAGGAGCAGGAGGGAGGAAAAAGAGGGGAAGTGAAGGTGGGGACTCCACTAGATTCTAAAAGAGAGGGGTTGCATGAGGAAATCTAACAAGGGAAATACATTTGAGAGTGATCTGGAGAAACTGAACCCCAGTGGGAAGCTGGCGGGTGGAGCGCTATCGGAGATGACTTTTGTTCTCCTCTCTTTCAGACACTGTGAAAATTGCAGCAGTAGTCGACATTATTCGGGAATTAAATATCTGCCCTGAAGATAGGGCAGTAGTGCCCATCAAAGCAAACCGTTTCTACACCTTTCAAACACTACAGATCACATCGTAAGGGAAGCCCTTGACTCTGCCCCACACCTAGATTGTGTACCCTAGGCAGAGCAGACCTTGCCTGTGGGCACCTGCAGGGATCTGTCAAATAAACTTCTTCAAGAGTCTCTGTGTTCTGCCTGTGTCTTTCCCCAAAAATCTACACCTAGTGAGCCCCAGCGCACCCCAAATTTCTAGAGATCTGGTCTTTCAAAGAGCTTTTACAGGGAAGGTTTTGTGGGTCTTGACTTCTCCTGCGTGCCCCACCCAATAGAGGAAGTACAATAAAGGAGGCTAAGAAGGAGCAAGGAGCCTTGGTGGTGCAATGGTTAAATGCTCGGCAGCAGTTCAAGCCACCAGTGGCTCTGTGGGAGAAAGAACCTGGCGATCTGCTCCCATAAACCCTATAAGCTCACTATGACTTGATGGCACACAAAAACAATGGCGAAGAGCAGGAACCTTGAAGGGAGTGTGTCCTGATAGAAGTGGACCTGGAGCAAGGGCCAGGGCACACAGTGGGCACAGGACAGTCCAGCACATGGAAGGGCAGACACTAAGGGCCGGAAGCATGAGACGGGGCGTGTTCAGGGCAGATGAGCAGTTGGTACTGGGGATGACTCAGTGCAAGCCTGGAGAGACAGAGAAGAGGCTGGCGAGGGGACAGGAGCAAAGTCAGCACAGGCTGGGTGAGCCTGGGCAAGGAGGGGGGCTCTCTCCTACAGGACAGTGATCCTCAACAGGTCTCAGGGTCAGGGCCGGGAAGCACTATCACTGGAAAGGCTCATAGACACATTAATTAGCGTCGTAATTCTGTGTGCTTACATGTGCCACAAATGTGCTCAATATTTCTTTTTGCAACCACATGCATTAAATATCTATTTATTCAATAGATATTTATCAAGTCCTATGTGTGCCGATTGACACAGTGGCTCCAAAAATAGGCTCAAGCATAACAATGACTGTGAGGAAGGTGCAGGACTGGGCAGTGTTTCGCTCTGTTGTCCGTAGGGTCACTATGGGTCGGAACCGACTCGGTAATACCAAACAACAACATGTGTGCTGTTGAAGCAGCCCTCCTGGCGCAGTGGTCAAGCCATTGGCTGCTAACCGAAAAGTCGGTGATTCAAACCCACCAGCCATTCCACGGGAAAAAGATGTCACATCTGCTTCAGTAAAGGTCACAGCCTTGGAAACCCTATGGTGCAGTTCTCTGCCTTATAGGGTTGCTATGAGTGGGAATAGATTTTATGGCAATGGGATGTGTGCCGTTACCTCCTTTAGGTGCTTGGTTTTACAGAGGTGAACCAGAAATTTTTCATCCTGATTTTACGACATTTACATTCTTCATGGGGTAATAGACAATGAACAAGTAAATACTTTTCCTACTTCATTTATGAGGAAGCTGAAATGAGAGAATGAGAGTGATTTGCACACGGCCAGCAAGCAGCAGAGCTCGGATTTGAACTACACAGGCAGCCTGAATCAGAGCCAATGCTCCTTATCACTGCACACACTTTCCCCTCCCAGATTACTGGGCCCCTCGAAAGACACAAAAGGTGGCATTTCAAAATTGCAAACACTAGCTCCTTCATTAGTAGTTCTGTGTACACGATTACCTCCTGCGGGCTCGTTGTCCTTCACTGGAGTTAGAACTCTGCCTAGCACAGCACTGTCCAATAGAGCTCTATTTTAAGCCCCTTCTGTTATTTTGAATTTTCTGGTAGCCACACTTAAAAAATTAATAATAAATAGTTGAAAGGAATTTTAACAATATATTTTATTTAACCTAATATACCCTAAAGTATCATTTCAAACCACCCCTTGTCTGTCATATTGCCGTACCATGGTGGCTTGTGTGTTGCTGTGATGCTGGAAGCTATGCCACTAGTATTTCAAATACCAGCAGGACCACATGGTGAACAGGTTTCAGTGGAGTTTCCAAGATAAGACAGACTAGGAAGACCCGGCGGTCTACTTCTGAAAACACTGGCCAGTGAATAACTTACAAATAGCAGCAGAACAATGTCTGATATACTGGTGGAAGATGAGCCCCTCAGGTTGGAAGGCATTCAAAATATGACAGGGGAAGGGCTGCCTCCACAAAATAGTAGTAGCTGTTATTGTTGTTAGATGTCAATGAGTTGGTTCTGATTCCTAGCGACCCCTTGTACAACAGAACACAACACTGTCCAGTCATACACCATCCTCACAATTGTTGTGATGTTTGAGTCCACTGTTGCAGCCACTGTGTTAATCCATCACATTGAAGGTTTCTTCTTTTTGGCTGACCCTCTACTTTACCAAGAATGATGTCCTTCTCTGGGGACTGGTCCCTCCTGAGAACATGTCCAAAGTACGTAAGACAAAATCCTGCCATCCTTGCTTCTAAAGGCCATTTTGGCTGTGCTATTTCCAAGACAGACCTGTTTGTTCTTCTGGCAGTCCATGATATATTCAATATTCTTTGCCAACACCATAATTCAAAAGCATCAATTCTTCTTTGGTCTTCTTTATTCATTGTCCAGACTTTGGCATGCATAGGAGGTAATTGAAAATACAATGGCTTGGGTCAGGTGCACTTTAGTCCTCAGAGGAACATCTTTGCTTTTTAACACTTTGAAGAGGTCTTTTGCAGCAGATTTGCCCAATGCAATGCATCATTTGACTTCTTGACTGCTGCTTCCATGGCCTTTGATTATGGATCCAAGTAAAACGAAATCCTTGACAACTTCAACATTTTCTCTGTTTATCATATTGCTTATTGATCCAGTTGTGATAATTTTTATTTTCTTTATGTTGAGATGTAACGCATACTGAAGTCTGTAGTCTTTGATCTCCATCAGTAAGTGCTTCAAGCCTCTTTGCCTTCAGCAAGCAAGGTTGTGTCATCTGCATAAGGCAGGTTGTTTGCCAGATTCATACCAGGAAAATAGGAAGTTGTCACAAATGAAATGCGTAAAGATTGATATCCTAGGCTTTAGTGAGCTAAAATGGACTGGTATTGGCCATTTTGAATTGGACAATTGTATGGTCTTCTGTGTCCGGAATGATAAATTGAAGAAGATTGGCGTCACATTCATCATCAAAAAACCATTTCAAGACAGTGATAGGATAATATCCATACACCTACAAGGAAGACAACTCAATACGACTATTATTCAAATTTACTCACCAACCGTTAATGCCAAAGGTGAGAAAATTGAAGATTTTTACCAAGTTCTGCAGTCTGAAATGATCAAATATGCATTCAAGACGCATTGATTATTGTTGGTGATTGGATGCAAAAGTTGGAAACAAACAAGAAGGATTAGCAGTTAAAAAATATGTCCTTGGTGATAGAAATGATGCCAGAGGCCACATGACAGAATTTTGCACGACCAACGACTTATTGATTGCAAATACCTTTTTTCAACAACATAAATGGTGACTCTACACGTGGACCTCGCCAGATAGAATACACAGGAATCAAATTGACTACATCTGTGGAAAGGCATGATGGAGAAGCTCAATCTCATCAGTCAGAACAAGGCCAGGGCCGACTGTGGAACAGACCATCAATTGCTCATATGCAAGTTCAAGTTATAGCTGAATAAAATTAGAGCAAGTCCACAAGAGCCAAAATATGACTTGAAGTATGTCCCACCTGAATTTATAGACCAACTCAAGAATAGATTTGAGGCACTGAACACTAATGACCGAAGACCAGACAAGTTGTGGGATGATATCAAGCACATCATATCTGAAGAAAGCAAGAGGTCATTAAAAAGACAGGAAAGAAAAAAAAAGACTAAAATGAATATCAGAAGAGACTCTGAAACTTGCTCTTGAACATGGAGCAGCTAAAGCAAAAGGAAGAAATGATGAAGTAAAGACCTAAACATAAGATTTCAAGGGCAGTTCAAGAAGACAAAGTAAATATTATAATGATATGTGCGAAAGACCTGGAGTTAGAAAACCAAAAGGGAAGAACATGCTCAGTATTCTCAGGCTGAAAGTACTTGTCTCAGTCATCTAGTGCTGCTCTAACAGAAATCCCACAAGTGGATGGATTTAGCAAAGAGAAGTTTATTCTCTAACAGTTCAGTAAGCTACAAGTCCAAAATCAGGGCATCACCTCCAGGGGAAGGCTTTCTCTCTCTGTCGGCTCTGGAGGGAAGTCCATGTCATCGGTCTTCCTTTGGTCTCAGAGCTTCTCTGCACAGGAACCTCAGGTCCAAAGGACGCGCTCTGCTCCCAGCACTGCTGTCTTGGTAATATGAGGTTCCCATGTGTCTCTGCTCGCCTCTGTCTTTCATATCTCAAAAGAGATTGCATTAAGACACTATCCTTGTCAACCTCATCAGTATAACCTCATCACAGTGATAGAATTTACAACACATAAGGAGATCACATATAATCTCATCATAGTGATAGAGTTTACAACACATAAGGAAATCACATCAGATAACACAATCATAGAATACTGGGAATCATGACCCAGCCAAGCTGACAGATATTTTTGGGGGACACAACTCAATCCATGACAGTACTGACTAAAAAATTCAAGTTTTAGTTGGAATATTGCAGGATTGTATGGGCAAAATCCAACACATCTGTCAGTTTGTCATGCTGTAGTGGCTTGTGTGTTGCTGTGATGTTGGAAGCTATGCCACTGGTATTTCAAATACCTGCTGGGTCACCCATGGTGGACAGGGTTCAGCAGAGCTTCCAGACTAAGAAAGATTAGGGAGAAGACCTAGTGGTCTACTTCTGAAAAACATTAGCCAGTGAAAACCTTATGAATAGCTGTGCGACAGTGTCTGAAATACTGCCAGAAGATGAGCCCCTCAGGTTGGAAGCCTCTCAAAATTGGACTAGGGAAAAGCAGCCTTCTCAAAGTAGAGTCGACCTTAATGACGTGGATGGAGTCAAGCTTTTGGGACCTTAATTTGCTGATGTGGCACTGTCTCTGCTCGCTTCTCTCTTTTATATCTCAAAAGAGATTGGATTAAGACACTAATCTTGTAAACCTCATCAGTATAA